CTCCAGACTTCTTGTCTGTCTTCTGGATTAAGCAACCTCACATCTTTCCAAAAGGCTCATTTTCTCCTGTAAGATGTTTTTCCTTGACCATCACACCAATCTCAGAAATGCCCAGCGGTCAGCAATGACTGATGACGGAAACTAATCTCCCTCCCTGCTGTCCGGTGGCTTTGCCTTTCACACACTCCATTCCCTCTGTTTGAATTGAGAGTTCCAGAGGAGGACTGGCCTCCCTCTTCTAATTTGTTATCTACAGCATCACTGCTATTTGCAGATGAGGCACAGTAGACATGAATATGCCATGTTCTTGCTCTAGAGAGATGGCATTGGGGACAAAGTTTCCTGGGCTGCTCACTGGGGTTGTTTTCCAAGGTAAAGGGGAATGCTGAAGGGCCATCTCCCATGCTCTGTCTCTTACCTATAGGCATATATTTGAGAAAGAGGCATTACAGGTTCCCTTTGTCACCGTGCAATAATGTTTTTCTTTGGCTTCTTCCCACGTCCCTTTCTGTACCTCTCAGCTCCTGGAATGTTTATTACTAAGGACCCATTCTCAGAATGTGACAGGCTCCAACTTTTGACACCTGAGGGATAACCTAAACTGTAGTTGCTTAAATTAAAAGTTATGGAGTTAAAACTTTTTCAAATGTATCTCAATTCAGAGAGTTTCCTTCAAGTTTTTTGGCTACCTTTTCTTGCTGTCCTAACTATAACTGTTATTTATTGAACAGTCATTAATGCACCAGGCTCTGTGCCAGATGCTTTATATATATGCCTTTACAACAATCTTGCAATTTTATATAATCCCAATTTTACAGTAGAGGTAATGTGGCACCTTAGGGGTTAAAAAATTTGCCCTGGGAAGCAAAACTATCAAATGACAAAGCCCAAGTTTACCCAGGCTTTGCTTTCTCTACCAAACCACTTGGCAACTCCTGCCCTCACCCATATTCAGTGCCCCATACTACAAAAATCTCTTTCCTTCTCCCTAGTCAATTTTTCTGTTCAGTTTTTGTTGCAAGAAAAAGAACAAGACAATTGCCTAACTAAATTAATTTATGCTACTGTATTGATGGCTCTTACCTTCAGGAGAATTTGTCAGGCCAAGTTAATCACTAATTCATGGAAGATGTGAGGAAACTGTCCTGTCTTTGGTGGGGTGCCTTTCTGTTTTTCCTTACTTAGCCCAAGTCACCAAAAGCACCCCCACCCCAGTACATGCACATGCTCACGCACGCACACACACACACACACAC